TTTTTTTTTTTTTACCAAAATGCCTATGTTCCTGATTTCTTTTAGGTCTATTTTAAAAGTAGAACTATCAAAAACATCTCATCAAAGAACTGGGTTTTTTTGTAAGTGTGAGTAAAGTACTGAGAATAGCTAACTTCAACTTATTAACAGTATTTGTTTTCTTAATGTTTACTTACTCTTCTGAATTTCCAGAATATTCTGCCATAGCTTTCTTCCACAGTCTCAACACTTCTCAAGTTTCTCTTTCTCTCTCCAAAGAAATGCTCTCTATAAATTTATGTACATAATAAAAACCAAATTGATTTTAGTCTGAGGTGTATTTTGAGATTTATTAACTAGAGGCTAACTTATAGATCAATAAATTTTAATTATCCCAAAATAAATCAGTAGCTACTTGCTATTTATCAGAACAACCTAACCTTTATTAAACTTTTAAAATGGAAATATATCCATTATCTATTTCCAGGGAGAACAGAAAGTCCTATGTATATAACCACGTGCAGTGTTGGTGATACGGACTTTGGTTTTAGGCTCCTTAGGGTTTGCAAGTGCTGTATTATACGGGCTGTTTCAGAAGGGAAGAGCTAATTCTATTTATGCTCAAGACCTTTAGTCTGTATATTGCCATTAACATTAAGGGACTAAAGGTGATTTTGTGAGAAATCTCAATCTAAAAGTCATTTTAGTAATGTGATACAGAAATGGTAGAAGCTTTGCACAGGCCATCTATATGCAAAATATGTATGTTTTAGTTGGTCATACTACATATAGGACAGTGGTCAAAAATAAGGTGGCATAGAAGGCTTATAGGCTCATATGACTAGCCTTAGAGTTCCAGATTTTAAATTCATCAGGTAAATGAAGATATTAAAAAGATGATGAAACTTAGAAAAAGGAAAATAATGAAATATCTCATCAAAAAATTCTATTTCAGTTCTCTGAGTAAAATACAAACGCTATAGGATTATCAGTATTCTTACGACTATCTAAATTTAATTGCTTTTGTTTTATGTATAATGGATAAATGAGTAAATGATTTAATGAATCAATTAACTCATTAATAAGCTATTTTACTTTTGGCTCTCAGTATAAGTTTGTTATTTTTAAGTAAGATTTATAATTTTAATTTTTCTGTTTTTATCTACAGCTGGAGTGCCAAACTGTATCTTACACCAAGTAACATTGTTCTACTTACTGCTATCGCTCTCATCGGTGTCTGCGTTTTCATCTTGGCAATAATTGGCATTTTACATTGGCAGGAAAAGGTTTGTTCATTTAAATGAAACATTAACTTTGGTTAAATGACCACCCAAAAATCATCAGGCATATAGAAAAATTTCATTAGAAATAATTTCATAATGGCCTCAAAAATAATAACCAGTTTTTAAAATGGCCTGTGTTCAGTATCTACTGATAGAGCCATGGACATTCTTTTGCCAGGATTAACAGCCATCTCTTTTAAAGAATCAGAGCACAGAGAAGCTAAATGATTTCCTCAAGGTTTAGGTGGAAAGCAACAACTAAAGTGATAAACATCTTTTCCACCTATCAAATATTCTTTGCATTGAACTAAACTGATTTCTGTTCTTTAGTATAATACTCTAAATAATAATTGAAAACAAAACTCCTAAAAAATGTAGGCTTTTATGCAATATATATGTGAATAAAAAGAGGAGGTATTACCATAAATTTATTAGCAGTTTAGACATAAATTGAAAAAGGTAATTTCTATTTGTATATGAATATATATTAAATACATAACTTGTAGGTTCCAATAATGCTCTTAAAAAAGTACTTTTTGTGTCACAAAATAAAGACGTTTTTCTTTTTTTACACCTACTGTTTTTGGATTGTCATGCCCATCATAATTATCTTTTGGTAACTAAAATTACTGTCTGTTTTATCTTAGCTACTCTCTTATGAAAAAGAGAACATGTTAATTGTTCTATAAATGTTCATAAGTTGGCCAGGCACAGTAGTTCATGCCTGTTATCCCAGCATGTTGGGAGGCCAAAGCTGGAGGATTGCTTGCAGCCGGGAGTTCAAGACCAGCTTGGGCAATAGCAAGACCCTATCTCTACAAAAAAATGTTTTAATTAGCTGAGCATGGTGGTGCACACCTATACTCCCAGCTACTTGGGAGGCTGAGGCAGGAGGCTCGCTGGAGCCCAGGAGTGTGAGGCTGCTGTGAGCTACGCTTATGCCACTGTACTCTACCCCAGGCAACAGAGTGCAATTTATCTCTTAAAAAAAAAAGTTCATAGGTTTATCTATTAATTAAAAAAAAAAAAATCACTCCTTCTAAAGTTACATATTCAATTAGCTTTAAGAGTGCAACTACGAGTAAGATCAAAGATGACCATATATACTTTGTCAAGAATTATCAGAACACAGTCCAAAATATGACACATAGCTCTTGACCTATGAAGGAAAGGAAATTAATTTTGTTAATTCCTCAAGAGATCTGATTACAGCATAAACATTGTGGATTTATAACAATAATGATGCAGTGACTAAAAACTGAAGTTTTAAATACAAGTATGTGTTTCCCTGTGTATACACAGTGTCTGCCGTGGCACTGCGGCAGCGCAGAAAGGCAGAACCTCTGCGACCGCTCTTCACCCGAGCCGGCCGCCGTGGCCCCAGTGCAGGCTCTGCGCGGCGCCTGCCCCAGGCCCTCTTCCTCTACACCTTCCCTGCCAGTTTCATCGAAAGTCATGGCTTCATCTATCGCCTCACATATCCCCAACTGTCATCTCTGAAGGCCTCTTCCCCCTTTTCTAACTGTCACCATAACCTAGATTACTCACAAGCACCTCAAGACCAATATTCTAAAGATTCATCTCTCCTCTTTCTTACATACCTGTAAGATTTCATCAGTTGCCTTACTGGGTCCGCCTCCGTAAGAATGACTTCAGCTGACTCCACCTCTGCATTCCTACTGACACTGCTTTGGTCCAGCCCCTCCTCTGTCCTCCTTGGTCCCGCTCATCCCATTCTCTCCCTTTCCATTCCGTCCATCACACTGCGGCCAGATTCCTCATCATCAAGTTTAGCCTTAATAATGCTGCTCCCCTGCTCAGCAACCTCTGGTGACTATCCATTGCCTTTTATGTATAAATTCTTAGCCTGGCCTTCACATTACTTCCATGTGCTCCAGAACATACCTTTCCAATCTCATTTCTCATCAGTTCCTTTCACGTATTCCACGCTCCTTCCAGAATTCCCATGATTGCTCGTGCTGCACCCCCGGCTTGGAGTGAATGATGCCCTGCCCCCTCATTTCCATAAATACTGTCTTTTCAAAGCTTTCCCTTTCCTCACCTGAACCTAAAAGTAATCTCTCCCTCAGACTACTGGTAACATTTTTCACTTTTTTTCTTGAAGTACAGTCATACAGTATGTTCTGCTTTGTTTTTTCTGGGCTCAAAGTTCCTAGAGAACAAGGTACAAAACTGAGGGTTTTTTTAATCCCTTAAAATGCCAAATACAGTACTTTGCTGGAAGCAGGTCAGTTAATATCTGCTAAATCAATAGGTTAACCAAAAAATAATTAATCTACTTTAATATAATTAGTTTAGATTTGTTTATTAACATCATTGCTAAGAATGGGAGAAAAATGCCATAGTTGATTCTATCCTTATAGAATCTAATGTTTACTCCTACTTTCAAATAAGTAACAAATGATAATAAGCTAAGTATTTAAGGATCATTTCTTATTGGTTTTTAAATTCAATTAGATCATTAATTATAAAATAACTACTTTAAACTACAAAAATATTTCATGTGATTATTGCATTCATACGTTATCTATAATTGCCAAGGACTTTTTAAAAAATTAATCACTTTGTATTTCAGAAATGAATCTTTTTTTTAACATTTTCCTAACATTTATAAACTAGTCTAAAATTCTTTTTCAGAAAGCAGATGATAGAGAAAAACGACAAGAAGCCCATCGATTTCATTTTGATGCTATGTGACTTGCTTTTACTATTACATAATGGAATGGTTATTCACTTGATTAGCTGAAATACTAAATTCTGGCTTATAGAAGAAAATAGGGGAGTTTGATTATTATTTATAAATGATGCATCCCTTGGTGATTATTGGAAAGTATTCAAATAAATATTGTCTGAATGTGCCACGAGGTCTTTTTTTTTTAAAAAAAAGCACTTTGTATACAAAAATTTTGTTTCTTGATTCAGTAGTATTGTACATTTTTCTTCCTTTGTGGAATGTGTTGCATGTACTCCAGTGTTTATGTATTTATAATCTTATTAGAGTAGTGATGATGGAAAAAGACATGTGTAAATAAAAATATTTAAATAAGCGGGGATTTTTGTGTTCCACTTGAATTGGTCTTGCTTCTTATTCTAAGAATACAAATTACACTTTCGTGAATGTATCTCTGACTTATTAAAACATTCACCTTCATTGCAGCAGGTCAGGGGTATCTCACTAATGGCTTACGATATAGTGCTTGGGTACTCTGGTGTTGCAGTAAGACAGACTTGCCTTAAACTTCTGGTTTCCACCACTTTCAAAGTTATTATTTAAACTCTGCTATTGCTTAATCTCTATAAGCCTCAGTTTTCTTGTTTATACATTAGGGCTAATAATATTTACTTGAGTTATTGTAAACATTAAATGGGATGATGTACGTAAAGTGTTTAACTTGGTGCCTAGCACAGAGTAAGTGCTCAATAAGTGGTAGCTGTCATTATTAATATTTTAGATGGTTTTATTAGACTTCTACAACTAATTATCGGAATATATAGACTCCACAGAATTTTATTTTCAGGCATGAAGAAATCATATTCTTTAGAAAACTTAAATTCTTGGTGATTGACATCTTATATAAAGATTACTTGCTCATATTAACTAAAAATTATATTACTGTACTAAGAATTAATGTGCCCTAAAAATTTTCATTTGGAAACTGATCCTCATCATGTGATAATGAAGAGCATTTGATTTCTTGAAAGGAAACTGCTGTAGGCAGCATCTGGAAATGCAAATCTTCAATCACATTTCTATTCTCAAAGGCTTGGAGAAGTCTATAATTTACGTTCAGACCTCAATGCAAATTTTATATTGTGAACTACACATTGCCAAAAATTTGCTTTAGAAAGACTTAAATCTAAGATGGGAGAAAAGTTTATATATCAATGGTAATAATATTCTAATATGCAAATAGGTATACGATGGCTATAAAACACAAAAATTTCTTTGAAAACAATTAATTTTGTTCTTCATGTTTTTTTTCTTTACAGTTTACTGAGTGGCATGTGTTTTTACTTTGTATCTAAGCATGCTAATATGTCTTCTTAATAAATATCCTTTATTAAAACAAAGTATTTTGGTTGCGTTTTTAAATAATTATTTTTGAGCATAAAGACTCAGAGGTTATGAGATGTAAATCATTTATCTGAACCAGGAGACTGAAGTAAGGTGACTTGCCAATTGCCTCTTTGTAGATCAGGGGCAAGGTGGGGCTTTCCTGACTATAATATTCAATTAAGTTCTCTAAACAGTTATCAACCCGTAAGGCTATGCTGGGCACTATTCCACAACTTCCCAAAGACAATTAAGCTTAGTATCTATGGATTGATATAGCATGAGTCTTAAAACTCACTTGGAGACAGGGCCTACAAGGAATAGCGTTACAGACAAAATGTTAATAACAATTAAAAATATAATCAGTGACATTAATAAGTTTCTGTATTTCCAAATGCAACTATAATATCATTTTTTAAGGAACAGCAGGTAAAAAATTTGTCACAACGTTGACAATCACTAACAAAGATCCTTATATTAATTTTGAATATCGTAGTAAAAGAGAACAAGATTTTGAGGTCAGACAAATCTGAATTCAAACCTGTCCCAGGGGCTGGGCGCGGTGGCTCACGCCTGTAATCCTAGCTCTCTGGGAGGCTGAGGCGGGCGGATTTGAGCTCAGGAGTTCGAGGCCAGCCTGAGCAAGAGCGAGACCCCGTCTCTACTAAAAATAGAAAGAAATTAATCGGACAACTAAAAATATATAGAAAAAATTAGCCGGGCATGGTGGCGCATGCCTGTAGTCCCAGCTACTCGGGAGGCTGAGGCAGAAGGATCGCTTGAGCCCAGGAGTTTGAGGTTGCTGTGAGCTAGGATGACACCACGGCACTCACTCTAGCCTGGGCAACAGAGTTAAGACTCTGTCTCAAAAAAAAAGAAAAAAAGAAAAAACCTGTCCCAGGTTAGCATAAGAAGTTTGGGCCTTCATACCCCACATTCATCAATTATTGGGTGTAGGCTGCCCCCAAGGACCTCTATCTGGAAAAAGAAAACAGGCACAAATAACCAATATCAGAAAGAAAAAAGATATAACTACAGATAATGTATATATTAAAATAGGAAGACTTTGAGAACAATTTTATACCAATGAATTTGAAAGTTTATACAAAATGGACCAATTCCTAGGAAAATATCACCAAAACATACTAAAAACCAGAAACCTGAGTACTCTTTCTGGTGGATGCTGTGATGTGGTCTCCAGACCCTCTATCCTAATTTCTGGGAGTGTCATCAGTATTCATCTGTCAGCCTCATCTGAAGAAAGTAGAGTCACCCAAGATCACTCCCCTCTTCTTGACATAAAATCCTAAATGTTCATAAACTAAATATATAAAGTAAAAACTGACAGACAAATAAGAAAATAGACAAACCCACAATTTAAGTTGGAGATAGCAATATTCCTACAGTAACTGAAAGAAAATTAGGCAGAAAATCAGAAATCTTAGAGATGACCTGAAAAGCACTAACAATCAACCTAACCTAGTGGATATTTACATAACACTCTAACCAACAACAGCAAAATACAGTCTTTTTAAGTGCACATAGAACTCTCACCAAGATAGACCATATGCTGTGCCATAAAACAAACCTTACCAATTCTAAAAGAATAGAAATACAAAGTAGAATGTCCAACTATAATAGAATTAAAGTAGAAAAATACCTGGAAAATACCCACATATTTGGAAATTAACACCCTTTTAAATAACCATAGGGTCAAAGGGGAAGTCTCAAAGGAAATTTTAAAATATTTTGAACCAAATTAACATAAAAAATGCAACATATGAAAATTTGTAGGATGCAGAGAAAGTGATTAGAGGGGGATTTCTAACATTAAATGCATGTATTAACAAAGAACAAAGATGATGATGAAAGAAATCAAAGAAAACCTAAATGGAAAGACTATTCACAGATTGGAAGATGCAACATAGTAAAGATGTCAGTACTCCCCAGAGTGATCTATAGATTTCACACCATCCCTATCAAAATCCCAGCAGTATTTTTTTTTTTTTTGCAGACATGGACAAGATTATCGTATAATTTATATGAAAGAGAAAAGGAACTAAAATAGTTTAAAACAATTTTGAAAAGAAGACAAATAGAAATCAAATCATCTGACTTTAAAACTTATTATAAAGCTACAGTAATTAAGGTGGTGTGGTATCAGCAAAGAGACAGACATAGATCAATGTTACAAAAGAGTCTAAAAACAAACCCACAGATAGATAGATATTTGATCTTTGACAAAGGTATAAAAGTGATTCAGTGGAAGACAGTCTTTTCAACAAATAGTGTCAGAGCAATTGATCATCTGTATTTGCCAATATATACAAAAGGCAAAGAAGAAAAAGAACCTTGACCTAAACCTCAGACCTCACACAAAAACTAACTCAAAATTGGTCATAAAGTTAAATATAAAATGTAAAACTATAAAACTTTTAGAAGAAAACATACAAGAATATCTTCCTAAACTGAGGTTAGGCAGAGTTCTAGAAATGACACCAAAAGTATAATACATAAACCAAATTTGACTAAATCTGTAAGAAATATGTTTTGTCAAAGACACTTTCAAGAGAATGGACAAGCTGCATATGCAAAGAAAATATTCACACATCACATATCCAACAACACACTTTTATCATGAATGTATAAAGAACTCTCAAAACTCAACAGCACACAAACCACCCAGACCAGATGGCACTGAAGGCCAAGAAGGCAGCACTGAAAGGCATCCATAGTCATTAAAAAAAAAAAAAAGACGATGATCTGCACTTTACCCACCTGCTGGCAACCCAAATATCCTCAGAAAAGTGCTCCCAGGAGAAACAACTCTGCCATCATCAAACTGCCCCGACCACTGAGTCTGCTGTGAAGAAGACAGAAAACAAGACACTTGCGTTCACTGTGGATGCCAAAGCCAACAAGCTCCACATCAAACAGGATGTGAAGAAACTGTGACATTGTTGTGGCCAAGTTCCACACCCTGCACAGGCCTGATGGAGAGAAGAAGGCATACGTTTGACTGGCTCCTGATTATGATGTTTTGGATATTGCCAACAAAATGAGGATCATCTAAACTGAGTCCAGCTGGCTAATTCTAAATATACATATTGTCACCATTTGGGGAAAAAAAAAAAAAGGAAACTCGAATGGGCAAGAACTTGAACAGACACTTGACCAAAGAGAAAATATGAATGGTGAATAAGCACGTGAAGGACGTTCAACATCGTTAGCCATTAGGAAAATGAATCTCGAAACCATGAAGAGATACCACTACACGCCCATTATGAACAAAGAATGTTTTCATGGATAAAACAAAGAATAATGACAATTCAAAGTGCTGACAAGAATGAGGAACAACCAGAATTCTCATACATTGCTTGTGGGAATGCATAATAGTAAAGCCACTCTGGAGAACAGTTTGGCAGTTTCTAAAATCAATTGCATTTTTATATACCAGCACAATTGGTTACAAAATAAAACTTAAAAACAGGTTAACATTTATAATAGCATCAAAAGAGTCAAGTATCTAGGAATCAATATAACACAAAATACACTACAACTCTATAACATTTTTCTGAGAAACACTAAACAAATCTTCAATAAATGCACATCTTTATCATGTTCATGGAGCGGAAGACTCAAAATCATAAAGATGTCACATCCTCCCAACTCCACTCAGTATCCTAAAGGGGGATTGTTATTGCCGAGCTTGATAAGCTGTTTCTAAAGTGGATATGGAAAGAGAAGGGCCAAGAATAGCCAAGACACTCTTGAAAAAGAACAAGGACTTGCTGTATCAGATACAAAAATTTAATATAAAGTTATAGTGATTAACAAAGTGCAGTATTGGTGAAGAGATAGACAGACTAATGGAACATATTAGAGAGTCCAGAGAAACTTATATACATCAACATTTGATTCAAGGAGGCAACACTGCAGAGCAGTAGAATAACAACAGCCTTTTAACAATAAATAAGCCTGAGGCAATTCATATAAA